AGTGTGTGTATGACTTTTCGTTGGGGTGAGTAAGTCTCCATGTGTCATAGAAATGATGTGTATGCAGAAGCTTTTGTATGGCCTTGCATTGCCTATGTAAGGGGCGATGTCTGCGGCTGTGTTGGGGCAATGTAGTGTCCAGTTTAGGGTCCATAATGTGATTAAAGTCCCCGCAGAGCACTGTGATGCCTTTTTGTATGTGCGCGATTTTTTGGAGGATTTTATGTAGAAAATTTCTTTGATTAGCGTTTGGTGAGTATATGTTTGCTATCGTATATAGTATGTCGTTTATTGTGCCTGATACAATGGCATATCTGCCGTTGGTATCTAAATCTTGGGAGTGCAGGGAAAATTTAACCTCCTTGCTAATCAGGATGGAAGCTCCTTTAGATTTCGAGCTCGATGTCGAGTGGAATTGGTGTGGGAAGTCCCTGAGTAGTGTCTTGGTAAAGTCGTTTGTGCGGTAGTGGGTCTCCTGTAGGCATAGGACGTCAGTGCGTGTCGACTTAAGGTCGCGGGCAAGAAGGTGTCGTTTTGCTGGGATGTTCAGTCCCCTCACATTGTATGTGTAAATCCTCACGGTGGTTTACGTGTGTGAATTTTTGTATATCTTATCAAAACCTCTATTATTGCGGGGGCCCTTGCTCTCCCCAGCCGTGTCAAGCCGAGCAAGGGGTGTCCCAGGACTCTTTTCAAGTGTCTCCTGATTGTGTCTGAAGAGAGTGGACTTTGTCTGGTATGTCCTTTGTGTGGTTTGCTGTGTGTGAGTGGTGTGGGGCTACCCACGTGCCCCTTGAAGCGTCTTGTAACCTTCATACAGTAAATATAACATTTAACTAAAACAGTATACAGAGAATTAAAGAAAAAACAAAAAACCCATTTGGGTCTATAACTGGTACTATACATGCCACGTATATGGCTAGGCACTGCGTATACGTGCCCTGGGGTCGAGGTATTTACCTCTCGTCCTGGGGGGAGCTCTCTCCCTCGAGTGCTTCTATGGTAGTGCTTGCTATTTTATGGGGTATGGTGTCTTTTATTTATTTTTTTTTTCCTCTCTCTCTCTCCGTTTGGGAGGGTCCCTTTTTTGAGTCGCTATTTTATCTCTAGGTCCCTTTTTGGATTCACTATTTTATCTCTAGGTCCCGATTCCTCTGTTATCCCTCTAAACATTTACACACACTCCCTCCCGTTAACCAAACGGTACATTACCCAACCTGTGTATCAACGTCCTTCTTGTTAAAGAGTTCTTATAGTGATAATGTCTCTTATCTTTTTTTCGCTTTCCTCCAGTCTGGAGCGATTCTGGGCACCTCTTTGCTAGCGTCCAAGTTGTGTGGTATGGCAATGTCCCAGGATTTCAGAATTCTTTCCCCGTCTTCTGGAGTGGCAATCACCGCTGTCTTTCCCCCTTTTGTAACCAGTAGTTTGGTGGGGTATCCCCAGCGGTATGGTAGTCTGTTGTCCCGCAGCGCTGTGGTGATGGGCCTGAAGTCCCTCCTCCGCTTTAATGTATAGGCTGAGATGTCTGAGAATATTACGTGGCCTTTATATTCAGTTGGTAGAATTTTGTTTGTTCTGTTCGCCGCTAGTATTGCTTCCTTGGCATGGAAATAATGAAGCCTAAGGAGTACATCGCGCGGCGTCTCTGGAGGCAGGAATTGGGGCCGCGCCGTGCGATGGATCCTATCTAGGAGGAGTATTTCCGCAGGTAAGTCAGGGGCTAGGTGTCGCAGCAACCCTGTGACATGTGCGGCGAGGTCCCCAGTGCTTACGGTTTCAGGAATGCCTCTAATGCGCAGGTTGTTTCTGCGGGCGCGGTCCTCCATGTCCGCCATTTTGAGGTCTTGGGCTGTCACTCTCTCGTTCAGCCTTTCTATTTTTTCCGCCATGGAGTTGTGGTCTTCCGAGATTCCCTCCATTTTATCTTCAACGTGGGACGTTCTGTTTCCCAGATCCTGTACCTCTTTTCTGAGATCTTTCAATGCAGCATCTAGTTTGTGGAGAATTTTATCTGACATCTCCTCCAATAAGTTTTTCATCAGGCTGTGGGTAAGTGGAGGCTCTGTCTCTAGGGGCTGGGTAATGGCCTCGTGGTCGCTGTCGGCGCCATCTTGGGCCTGGTCTGGTGGCTGCCAGTGTTTTCCTTGGCCGGTTCTAGAGGTGAAGAAGTTTGCTTTTTCGGTCTTCTCCGTCGTCCGTTTGCTTTTAGGTTGCGACATGTTTGTGCTGGAGGGTGTTATTTTGCACTTTTACCCCGGTTTATTGCTCAGATGAAGCTGGCTCGAGCGGAGCTCTCAGCACATGCGGCTGGTGCTGTCAGCGTCCAGGACACGCCTCGTTACACGGATTTAATGAGCCTATGCTTCCATTTGGGGTATTATACCAGTTTAAATGTTCAAAAAAAAAAACATAAAGGGCTACCATTTGTAAAAGTAGACACTCCAGGGTATCTCATAAGGTGCATATTGTGCCTCAACATGCCCCCATTTTTTTCACCAATATATACTAAAGTATGTGATAAAAAATAATTGTGTGCGTTTTTTACATATGGATTGCCTTTTTGCTGGGCATTTTGTATATTGCCACTAAGTTCAAACCCCCCAAATTATGCTCGGCTAAGTCTTCTGAGTAAAACGACACCCCCAATGAATGTCTTTGGCACTATTTTGTGAAGCTACAGTGCCATATAGGAGACCAAGCCATATCAGTTTTTACCGAACTTTGAATTTTGATGCTCGGCCTATGTGCAATTTCCAAGCATCTTAGCAGGGTTTAAATTCAAACTACCCCACAAAGGCCTACCATTTCTTAACGTAGACACCCCAGGGTATTTCAAAAGGTATATTTTGAACCTTAACGTGGGATCATTTTTCCGCTAGCTTGTACCAAGTGTAGTGGTAATAAGTGTTTTTTCTGCCTTTTTGACACACAAAGTTAGTTTGCACAGTATATTTTGCAAACCTTATGTGTGCAACGACTGTATAATACTTCATATGTTGCTCAGCTATGTCGCCTGAGTACAGCAATACCACCATATGTACCTTTGCCAGGTATATGTTGAGGTTGATGGGGCACATTTGAGACGCAGCCATTCAGTTTTTTTCTAACTTTGAAGTTTTACGCTGTGTCCATGTTCCAATTTGGAGTAGTTTAGATGGTTGGTTATTGAAACTTCCCCACAAACACATACTATTAAAGAATACACCCTGGGGTAATTCAAAAGGCATATTTTGAACCTTAGCGTGGGATCATTTTTTCTCTAGTTTGTTCCAGGTGTAGTGGTAATGAGCGTTTTTAAATGTATTTTTGTACTTTTTAAAACTAGTTTTTAAACTTTTGTTTTGCTTATTAATTTTTTTAAACTTTACTAAACTTTTTTTTTTTTACAGATTTAACATTTTTCTAAGCTTTTTTTTTTACCGTTAACCCCTTACTAGCAGTAAGCAGCACTAACAGTAAATTCCCCATTTTCCCATAACTCCAACCCACCCCAGCTAGCAATATATATATATATATATATATATATATATATATATATATATATATATATATATATATATATATATATATATATATATATATATAATTATAAAATATTTAAATTAATTAATTAAATAAATTGAACCCATGAGGGTTAAAAATAAATAAGTTAATCCTCAGAGGGTAAAAAAAAAATGAGATCACAGTATAATACTGTGATCTGTATTTTGATCACTGTAGGCAGTGATTGACTGGCAGGGAAGGGGTTAATTTTTATTTGGACTGGGTAAAGGGGGCTGTTTTTCAATTTTTTACTTAAACGTTATTAAACCTTTTTTTTTTTTTTCAGCTTAATTTTTATCTTTCTAAAGTTTATTTTAATCCCCCAATTCCCCACTAAATTCCACCCACCCAGCTAGCTAAATATATAATTAAAAAATATTTAAATTAATTAAATAAATTTAACCCCTTAGGGTTAAAAAAACAAAATAATTAACACTCAGTGGTTAAAAAAAAATCAGATGACAGTAAAATGTAATTCCTGCCAATTGATCACTGTAGACAGTGATCAACTGGCAGGGAAGGGGTTAATTTTTAATTAAAATGAGTAAGGGGGGGTGGGATTTTAAATAAACTTTATTTTTTTTTAAACAGGGGGCAGGATCAGCACTGTTCCGGCTCCCTGCACTTCACACAGAACCAGGAAGTGCAGGGAGGGGGAAGGTGAGTATATGCAGCACATGTGTTCGCTCTGACAGCTTGTTAGAGTGAGCACAAGTGCTGGGGCAGCCTGATCGGGCGATCCGGGGTTAATTTTAACGGGTGACGGATGAGGTCCGTCACTCGTCGTTATGGCAATCCCCTGAGTGATGGACCTTGACTCGTCATTAAGGGGATAAGGACACATGACATGTGTGACATGTCATGATTCCCTTTTATTCCAGAAGTTTGGTCCTTAAGGGGTTAAAATGTGATATGCCCAGTCCTTTTTAGGAGCCGCTCTCAAACCCTGGCCAAAGTTAGCATTCCTATTGGTTTTTTTTTTTAAATTTTTCAGACAAACTGCCCTTTCACTGCTAATATCATTGTCATATTAAATGTTACTGTTTTTAAAAACTCATATTTGTGTTTAGCAAAGTCTTGTGAGTTCAACTGTACCCCTATGTCCAGATTTTATAGTGTTTTGGAAACTTACAGAGTCACATTTAAGGCTTTTCCATTTCAGTTTTTACACATTGAAATTTGCCAGATTGGTTGCCTTTGAGACTATATGGCAGCCCAGGAATAAGAATTATGCCCATCAAGACAAACCATTTGCAGAAGTAGATAACCCAGGGTATTCAAAATGGGGTATGTCCAATCTTTTTTTAGTAGCCATTTAGTCTCAAACTATTAGTATTTATATTTGTTTTTGTTTGCATTTTTCACATTCAAACTGCACTTTCATTGATTATGATGATCATCATTGTAATGCATTTTACTGTTTTGAAACACTCATATTTGTGTTCAGGGTAGTCTTTGTCCTGAAGGGGTGAATATCAAATACACTTAGAAATACATTTAGATAGAGATAGATAGATATATAGATATATATAAATGTATCTATATCTATCTATCTAAATGTATTACTAAGTGTATTTGATATTCACCCCTTCAGGACGCAGTATGGAATTTTTCCACCATTGTAGTCCTCCCTTTAAGGACCCACCATTACTAAACTTAACCCCAGATTACCGTGTTTGAGGCAATCGTGGGGTTAATGCTCCTGCAGTCTGCCTCAGACTGCAGCAGGCAGTCTCACTGCTCCAGCCCATGTAATCGCTCTAACCGATAGTACCATTCCAACTACCTTTGTGGGGTAGTTGGAATAAGCAGCCTGCTAAAATACTTCAAAATAGAACACAGACCCGTCAAAACCATCTATGAAAATTCACACTTAAAAATCTGAAATAGTCGTGTCTCTTTTACACTATTATAACTTCAGTAGTACTGTCTGTCCTGCATTGGCATATTGTTTTCCTCAGAAGAGGTAACTGAGCATAATTTGGGGGTTTTATGACAGTGGCACATATTAAATGTATGAAATACTCAGTAAAAATGCAACATGTATGTAAACAATGCCATTTTTTTCTCACCACAAAATTTGACATAAATTGGTGAAAAAATTACAGCAAGTTAAGATGCCATATACACCATATAAGATGCCCTGGAGTGTCTGCTTTCTCAAATGGAAGGCCTTTGTGGGGTTATTTGAACAGTCAAACTGCTTTAATGCAACAAAATCAGACATAGGACCATCAAATCCCTCTATGAAAATTTTAACTATAGAAACTGAAATAGCCTGGTCTCTTATATGGCATTGTAGCTATATATTAAAATGTACTTGGAATTAGAGGTGTGTGTGTGTGAGAGAGATTTTGTGTGTGTGTGTATGTGTACTTAGATCATATACAGTATCTTACAAAAGTAAGTAATTTTTTGTAAATATTTTATTATATTTTTATGTGACAACACTGAATTAATGACACTTTGCTACAATGTAAAGTAGTAAGTGTACAGCCTGTATAACAGTGAACATTTGCTGTCCCCTTAAAATAACTCAACACACAGCCATTAATGTCTAATCTGTTGGCAACAAAAGTGAGTATACCCCTAAGTGGAAATATCTAAATTGGGCCCACTTAGCCATTTTCCCTCCCTGGTGTCATGTGACTTATTAGTGTTACAACGTCTCAGGTGTGAATGGGGAGCAGGTGTGTTACATTTGGTGTTATCGCTCTCACACTCTCTCATACTGGTCACTGGAAGTTCAACATTGCATCCCATGGCAAAGAACTCTCTGAGGATTCGAAAAAAAGAATTGTTGCTCTACATGAAGGTGGCCTAGGCTATAAGAAGATTGCCAAGACCCTGAAACTGAGCTGCAGCACGGTGGGCATGACCATACAGTTATTTCACAGGACAAGTTCCACTCAGAACAGGCCTCGCCATGGTCGATCAAAGAAGTTGAGTGCATGTGCTTAGTATCATATTCAGAGGTTGTCTTTGGGAAATAGACGTATTGTTGCAGAGGTTGAAGGGGTGGGGGTCAGCCTGTCAGTGTTCAGACCATACGCTGCACACTGCATCAAATTGGTCTGCATGGCTGTCATCCCAGTAGGATGCACAAGCAAGCCCGCAGGTTATGCACAAGCAAGCCCACAAACAGTTTGCCAAAGACAAGCAGACTAAGGACATGGATTACTGGCATAGGCGTGCGCAGCCTATTGCATTAGGGTGTGCACCCTAAAGCACAAACATACGCTGCGTGTTGGTGTATCTTTATAAATACATACACAAACATATATACATACATGCACACATATATACATGGGGTGCAGTGTGTATGATTGTGAGGGGTGCAGCATGTGTGTGTGATTGCGAGGGATACAGTGTGTGTGTGGGGTACAGTGTGTGTGTGTGTGATTGTGAGGGGTACATTGTGTGTGATTGTGAGGGGTGGGTTGTAGTGTGAGAAAAGCTTAGGATAGGGGTCTGAGAGGGGAGCAGCCTTTTAATTTCATTATACATATTTTAATATATTTTTTAAGTGTTTACCCCTACCCCCCCTCACCTCCCTCCTTGTGTCTTACCTGCCTCCAGGGAGGAGGGGTGGTCAGCATATTCCCTGGTGGTCTAGTGGCACTGTAAGGGCTCTGCAGCTCCGCCCAGTGAAGGCTCTCTCGCGAGTCCCGGCACCACATGGAATCGAGCGTTGTCCTGTGGGGGCTGAAAGTGTTTGGGAATGGTGATAGTGTATGTGTATGGGGTGACCGTGTGTGTGGGAATGATAGGGTGGGGGTGACAGGGTGTGTGAAGAGGGGCTGTGACAGGGTGTGTGTGCGTGGGGATGACAGGGTGAGGTTGCTGAGACTGGGGTTGAGTGGCTGTGACTGGTGATGCGGGGGTGGAGGGGCTGTGACAGTGCGGTGTGGAGGAGCAGTGACAGGCAGGGCCGGACTGGCCCACCGGGATACCGGGAAATTTCCCGGTGGGCCGCGGCACCTGGGGGCCGGCCGCGTTCCTGGCTGGAGCCGCCGGGCCGGGTGGCAGCTTCCCCGGTCCGGCGGCCCTGCTCCTCTCACTGCCAGGGGCGGGCTGGGCCGGGGGGCAATTGCCCCCCAGCCCGCCCTAAATTTCTGTAAGACCGACCGCGGCGGGCCGGCCCTTTAAATACTGCAGCCGCCTGAGCGCTCTGTTAAGA